TTCTTTCGAAAGCATACAGCGTTAATCGAAGATTTCTGCTGTGCAAAAAAACAAGCTTATCAAAACTTACAAAAATTGGAAATTAGGGGTAGGACAACCAAATCCCACGAATTTTACGATATTCATGAAATAAGAAAATTCAAATCGTACTGCTTTGTTTTGTATTTTTTTAAGATAATTTAATGTTCCATATTTAATGATAATCTATGTTAATTTTTATGAATTAATCTCTTTCCGCTCTACACTTGCTTTTCTTAAATAGGAGTATAGAGCCATTTCTTAAATAGGAGTATAATTGAAGCAGGAAACAAGGAAAATGCGTGATACCACGACTCCAGACCATCGCTCGACTGTCAGTCAGTCGGACGCATCTCCTATTGAACCAAGAAGGTACTTAGTAGGAAGGGTGAAAATACCTTACATCTCCCACATTTAAAGGGCAATTAGCCCTGTCGCCACATTCAGGTGATGACGAATTATAGCCCGCTACACTTTAGTTCGGACGGCATTTTTTTTAGTCCAAAGGAGCTTTGTCCCTATTGTTTTCGTTTCGGGATTTTGCGTTGAATCACTATAAAAGGAGAATCACTTTTCAAACTGTTGCCAAAAAATGTTACAATCCTGCATTATATCTAAAAAATTAAATAATGAAAAATCTGCATAAATGTCGTTTTGCGAATTTACGTTGAATTACTATAAACGGCAAATCACTTTTGAAACTGTTGCCACCAAACGTTAGAGTCCTGCATTATATTTGAAGAAATTAAATAATGAAAAATCTGCATAAATGTATGTCTATTTCTCGCATTGTGATAAAACAACGGTGCATAGTCATCGAATTTTGAATGACGTAATCCTCCTACGAATATGGGCATGTGGAAGACCAAATTTAAAATTTGTTTTATTATTAATTTCATATTTTGTAAAACTTTAATGAGTTTTTGAGTAACAAACTTAACGATTTAAAAGCGAACAATGGCAACACTCTACGGGCGGGGGGAAACCTTTCTATGTCCAGTGCGCCGATTTGTGTATCGGAAATTCTAAAAATATGCTCATTTTAAAATTATTTTGCGACATTGCTATTGAGCTGAATTATGGTTTAGGTGCAAAGAACGTGATATTTAATAAATAAAGGTAACACACAAAACGTTAAAAAAAAAACCCTTCTTTGGACGTAATTTAAAATCTGAAACCTTTCAGTTTTTTTTTTTAAAAAGCCAGGAAATTGAAGAAATCCTCACTATTTTCGTCGGAATTTTAACTCCGAATATCGCGACTACTAGCCGAAGGTGTTCCTAATTACACAAAAAAGGCAGGCGTTTGGGGAGAGAATACCTTACATTATCCCCAATTTAAACGGCGAGAGGAGGCGGGGAACTAATCAACAAATCCCGGTGATTGCTGTCCGCCTCATTCTATTTTCGAATGCCAATGTAGAATCACTTTGGAGCGCGAAAGGTGAGACAATCAGCAATGCCATAGCCAAGATTCGAACTTCCGACTGCTAGGGCGACGTGCTTCCAATTACACCACGAAAGGGGTAAGGAGAGAGAAAATACCTTACAGACTCAGGAAGAATGCAAAAAATCTAAAATAATCTTAAGAATGTGCTTTGAATTCAAGAAATTTCACTTGTAGCCTATTACTATACTAAACTAAACTAAACTAAATTCGGCGGCACAAACAGCCCTTAGAGAGCCATGGCCCTGATATCTGCTTTCTAGTGGACTTTGGAGTGCTTGTGCATCTTTGCCTGACAAGTGGTCAGCTTGTCGCAGGATCCCTCTGTTTAGTTCCAAGCGAACTTGGTACTCATTTTATTAACCCACTCAAGGGATGAAAGCGTTAGTCAATCTTGCCCAGCCCGGGGATTGAACCTCGAACCTGTGGTGCTGCTGCACGACGCGCTAGCCATTGCGCCACCGTAGTTCTATTTGTAGCCTATTTATAAATATAAATGCATTTTTAAAAACTAAATTTGCACATTAAATCTTTTTTCTTCATTAAATGTAGATTTTAAAGTTTGCTTTCCTTCCTTCCCTTTAGTTATTTTTATATGAAGGGTTAGAAAACGATTAATAATTCGGTTTTCGAAAGTATGATCCGTCCCACCTCTAATTAATAACCTATATTTAAAATGCTTAAAAAATCTAACAAACTATGGTATTTTCATATTATTACGATTTTAGTGATTTAAACAGTGCTAACAGACTTTTTGTTAATGGACTGCAGCCCTAGTGAGAGCTCTTCTCGTGAATGCAGAACTATATAAATGACCATGGAGAGGACTACCGACCGTTTGCGAACAGCTCTGTGTAAGGTTGCCACTTTAGCGTAGTCCGTTAACAAGAAAGTTCTTGACGACGTTTAAGTAACAGATCCAGTAACAATAAAAAAGTATCGATATTACTTTGTGGTTTAAGGCAATACTGAGAGAAACAAAGACAGTTCTCCATAGGCTTGGGTGCTGATAAAGGCAACTCAAGGACGCCCAAACAAGATTTGGAGGACCAAACTGAGTGTTTAAAGCCGTAATGGAACTTGATAGTACTGTCTGTCTACGTGAATAATAGTTCCCGCCACAGTGTCTGACGGGTGGCGGTCGCTATAGCAACAGGGCTAGTGTATTTTAAATAGGAGCGAACCATGGATTGCTTTAGTGTTATTTTGTTTTTGCCGACTGTTGGCTGAAGGGAAAAGAGATTATCATTCGTCTTCAAGATACCCCTACGGAAAATGGGTCAAGGCTCACTTCTACGGCAACAGTTAGTTGCAGACTAACTGGCGAGAGTTTTTCTTATGGTAGACAGACTGTACCTAAACAAGTCTCTGCAGCGCTCAAACGGACTTTCCTATAAACGAAGGTTCTTGTCACTATGTTAATTATTTCTCACAAAATGAAAAACAAAGACAGTCATTAGAAAGGCCTCCACGTAGGCATCCCTTCCCTTAGGCAGATAGCCCTCGAGGCTTTGCCTTATTCTCAATAATCCAATCCAAAGACAGTCATTTAAAGTAAAGCAAAATTCAGCCTTATATTAACTTTAGTTTTAAAGATAAGCAGTGACTTCGGAGAGATTCATTTACGGGATTCCTCTTCATCAAGAAGCGAAATATATTTCAGTGTTACTACTCGAAGAAGTTCAATTTCTTCTAAATGCACACACTTTTTCTGAATTGAAGCTAAATGAAAGCGAAATTCCGCCTTCTAAAATTCTTGAAAAAAGCAAGGAAACTGTTACGGCAATCACCACTGAAAACGATCAGTTATTTCTCAGACCGTAAATAGACCCACCACCACAAAAAACCTGAAACTGAAACTGAGGATTGTTTTTTTAATGTTTTATTGAACTATACCTTCCTTAAGACCACCATTTATGGTTGCAGATGATTTTAGCCGTCAATGGAAGTGGTCATATGTTCAGTAGTACTTTTTATTTATACTGTAAGAAATTCTACACACGTTCAGAAGTAGCTGCCTGTAGAATGTTGTCACGATAACAGGATTCACTGCATTGTACTGGATGTTTTCAAAAACTTGCATGACTCAATAAAATGATTATAGACACAACAATCTACTTGGAAAAATGAATTAAATAAAAACGATTTTCCGAGAATGATAATTTTAGTAACGTTTGACCCATTAATAAAAAGCATTTTAGGAGAGCGAAAATGTTCATGCACGTATATGGCCCTGAAAAAAATTATTATAATTAAATGCGTCAATCCATTTTTACCATAAGAAATTATGCCAACTTTAAGAACCATATAATGTATAAATGCTCAAGAGAATATTTGAATGTATGGGATTTAGTTTAATATGTCTTCTGTAAATCCTTACACTCTCTCAAAGCAAAATCTGTAAACAGTCCCCCAAAAATTCAATTAATGATACCTCAAGTAATTTTGATTGTATGATGATTTTTTTTTTAATATATGACTCATTTAGTTGTAACATTTCTTTTCCACCCAGATTTTTGTTCCTTTTGGGCTCTATCAAAATTTAATTTTCCTATATTTTAATAAAAAGGTAGGATTCTGAAGGCGTATTTATTTAATTCATTTCTCAAACTAAACCCATAGGATTACGACCAGCATTCTTTTGCAGAAAATTTGTATACAAAACGTCAAGAGAATGCACTAAAAATATAGAATAAGGCATGAAATCATAAGATAAAATTTGGAAAATTTGCTTTATTCTTATCCTTCGTTACAAATATTCATAAGGCATAAAATACGACACATAGACAAATACTTTTTACCTTTTATTTATTCATCATATCATCATAAAATGGGGCATTAGAAAAAGGAATTTTAAAAAGCTTGTAGAAACATTAGGTATTTTTTGAAGGCCGGAGAGATGAAAAATTAGCAAACGCCTTCGCCGGGAATCGAACCGCACGCTAGGGAAGTGGGAGAAATACCTTATATACTCCCCTTTTTAAAGGGTGACTAGGGTTTTAGAGGACCTAGTTGCCAAATCCTGGGTGCGGAGAATCATCATCCACAACCCTTTTAGTTCGGGCGCCACTTGTACAGTCACAAGGCCAATTGGAATCAGAAAAGATGAAAAGTATGCAACCGCCTTCGCCGGGAATCGAACCACGGACCTCTGGAATACCAGCCCAGCGTGCTACCGTTACACCACGAAGGCACGTTAGGGAGTGGGAGAAATACCTTATAAGCATTTATTTATAAAATGGCATTTTTCTTCGCTCCCCTTTTTTAAACAAATTATACAAGAAAACATAATTGACCTCTGGTGCTGTTTTCGTGGTTTTCTCAACGAGTTCGTGGTTCTCTCTCTCCTCCTCTTACAGAGATAGCGCTCGTGGAGTCTGCGTATCAAATTAACAAACAAATATCTAAATGCAAAAGATTATCTACTGAAAAAGCTATGAAGAGTATCTATCCATGTTATCCGAATATGATGATTCTTGGATGACCTTAATATATTCCTTGTCAGGCGTATAAAATCATACAAAAATTTTACTCACCTGGATATTGCTTTCGCCGGGTGGAGGATTTAGCACATCCTAAAATAAAAACAACCTTCATTAAAAAGAAATAATGACATTTTCAAAATGTTGTTATTATTATTTACATATTAATAACAGACACAAAGATTTCCAATATATGTATATAATTTAGCCAACGTATGTTTCAAATTCAGATGTATATTTTTAACATCATACATGCAGAAAAACACACATGCGTACTTTTCCTATAATCACGAATATTTCAAACCTTTTTACTACTATTTCATATTGTTCTGTGCATACGGGTTCGTAATGGATTCAATGGACACAGAACCGATGAAAGGCAGACAAAATTTATTTTACCAAAAGAAACGGTTCTGAAAATTTCACAAAAATACTTCCCAGTATCACAATTTTTAGATTTCAGACTATTAAGAAGGTTAAAAAACAGCGCAATGCGAAGCGCATCTAAAAGACGAAGCTCTCACGGAGATTTCTGAATACTCCGAACTCGGCGCTAAACTAAACAAGCGAGAACTGATGTTCTCTCTTCCCTTACATAGTTCTCCCCCGGTACGCCAGAAATCTCTAGCATGTCTCAAAATTGCTGGAAAGCATATACGATTAAAGTTATATATATAAGGTTCGAACACGGCTACGGTTACATGTACGGATCAATTACACTAATTCAATTATAGCATCGATCGGTTATACAGGGACCAGACCAAAATATTGCCGAGTTTGGCGACGAAAATTAGCTGCAAAACCATCGCCAGATATCTCGCCAATTTACCTCCATATTAAATAGATTTGCCCCTGTAATATTTTTTCGGCAGAGCTTCGTCTCTACAGGCATTTCATTTTACATTATATAAAATATACTACAATATTTTACATATAATTTGACTAAAATTATTTACATATGTACAAAATTCGTAACAGTATAAACATAACAAAACAGAAAGCGAAAATCAACTATAAACGATACATGAAATAAAATAAACATGATACATAATGTAAAATAAACAAAAGTACACATATGACGAAAAAATATTGCAAAAAGGATTTGTTTTTCTTTTAATAAAGGTAAATTTCCAAAATTTTAAATAATTACTCTAAAATCTCCCTTTCAGCTTAAATTAACTTTAAAGTGTTAGCTGGAGAGCCTAACGTTAAACACACACATGCTAACCATTCATTTCTTACATCTTTTTTTTCCTTGCAATTTGGCAAAAACTTACCTTTTGTACAAGTTTAAATTTAAGACACTTTAAAACTGACACTTAAAATTTCTACTTTCAACACAAAATTTTTACATACTAAACACATCTCATTTTAAATTCACTTTAAATCATCGTTATAGTCGCGATATACAATTTACAATCTTTTCGTAAAATCTTAACTTTAAGTTAACAAATTTCACTATTCAATGAAGTGTTTCTTTAAAAGATATTCACAACTCAATTCTTGCAACTTGCGAATGCTTAACAAGAACTATTTACAACTAAATTCTCGCCAAATTGTGAATACAAAAATCTTTCTGTATAGATAAGATCTGTAAAGATATTTAGGTCTATATAAAATTGTGGGGTGCATATTGTGCCCATGATGATGTGTGATGAAGAATATGTTTCTATAATTTGTTTGTGTCCAGTAATAAAAAATTATGTTCGATTCGGCCACGTCTGTCTACAAGTCTCTCCTTCGATCGATATATATATATACATATAAATTACGTTTTAAAATAGTATTTAAAAACTCCTTTAAGATATCCATAAAATATCTTTTAAATTCGTTTCTGGATAAGAAGTTTATAAAAGAACATTTTTCTCAATGTTCCAAGTCCGCCTATGTTGGTTTTAATCGTTATGGCAAAGTACTCGACTGGTATCAGTTTAAAGTAGAATAAGAAGCATAAACAAAGAAATAAAAGTGCGCAGAATACATATAGAAGAGGTAATAATGAAATAAGCCTACAAATAATTATAATTTTACATTTTACTTGCTCACTAGGGGGCCTTCTTTACATATTAAAGTCAATGTTTTTTAGCTTGAATGGAAAGTCCACCTACATGCGAACATTCATTAAAAGTAGAATTTACTAGGCAGAATTTTTGAAAATAAATATTAATATATGTGTTTAAAACTCTACAGATTTGTTTTTTATTTGTTTAATTATAAAATTTTGCTTTGAACTATTTACCAGAGGTAAAGCAAGTTATAAACGGAAGTAAAATATAAGATCACACGGAATTTTATTTGCGATGATGTAAGTTGACCAGAAACAGTGCTGTTTCAGTATTTAAAAAAAAAAAAAAAAAAAAAAAAAAATACAATTAAAAATTTCACCTTGAAGAATGAGACCGTGCCCTACTTTACAAAGACCCTTTCACTTCCAGTAGAGACAATTTCGATTTCGATTCTTCCTGAAATTGAGCAAAAATGATAGACAGAAAGGGGGGGAGTTGAGCTCAAAGAATAAATCCAAGGCCTCCGGTGACACAGCATTTCAGAGCTGACGAAATAACCCTTCAAGATAAAAGGGCATTTAAACACTAGATGAAGACTCTGAAGATGTTGGTACACCTAAGGAAAGGAGGAGAGGAGGAATCTGAAAGTTGCTAGATAAAAAAGTTATTAAAAAATTGCAACTAGATTTTTCAGATTCCAAGTTTACAGCCGAAAGGTTTAATTCTAATTGAAGCCAATACTTCAACAATCTACAAAAATAATCATTTTATTTACAAAGCAACCTGGATTGCATCGATGGTTCACTACTAACTACGTCGCAAACTGAAAAAACTAACATTCTTTCTCAGAAGCGAAGCGCCCTCTAACGGCGATACAGAAGTCATTTGTGGGGTTTTTCCACAGTCGTAAACCGGTATCTTTCAACAGTGAAACGTAATTTCATCAAAATTCCAAATCAACTTTTTCTTAAAAATGAGAAACATAAACCGGCACTGCACTGAATTGCAAACTAAATGAAATTCACACCTTTTAATCTAAAGCCAGCAGTATTTATTCCTATGCTATGCAATTAACCACACATGTCCTGCACGTTCACTACTTTAAAAGTGTCTCAAGATATTTCAGCAAATTATGGCGATTTAAAATTTGCTCTCTAACGTGGAATATGATGTGTAAGACTCTGTTTATTTGTTTTTTCCGCGCTTTTCTATAAAAACAACTGGCTAAATGGCCTTAATACATAAAAAAGTTTACGCACAGCCCACGGGAATAGGTTAAATAACATAGGTAAAAATTTCAAATTGCTGGGAGAAAACATTGTTAAATGAAAAGCAGGAAAGCATGTAAATAGTTCGTTTAAGCTACTGACAGTCTGTCTCCTATAATTGCACTTAAATTTTCATTATTTTTCAATTTTATCTAACTTAAAATTATTTCTCTAGAAGTCCATTCTTGACTACTTTTTACTTTAAGTTATATTGGCAAATTCAACCAAAGGGGAAATTCAGATTTTACCTATTTAAATTTAAAACGAAATATATAGAAAAATACATAAAGCAACGTCTGTAATTACGTTATACTACGGATGTAAACATTAGATTAATAATAATTTCAGTTTCAGATTTCGTCATATTTTGACTATTTTGCTGAAATATATAATATTAACAGCAAACAACAACACTTACTAGAGGTTTTCAACGAAAACAACAGAAAAATATTAATTTTAATTTACAGAGAACTCTCTCTGTTAAGTACCAACTCAAACTTATTTCCAAGAATTATAAGTCAACACCGATTCTGAATATGAACTCTCTACAGAAGACCAAAATCATCTGGAACCTGTAATGATCCGTCTCAGAGAGGGTTTTCTCGTTTTCTGCGTTAGAAAAAATACTTAAAATTTTATAAAAATCGTTTTCAATAAATTTGTATACTAAGACATTTACGAATTAATTTCTCAAAGAAAAAGCTTTCTACAGTACTGCCTTTTATCTACGAGTAATAACATTCCAAGACTTACGGGCAATTTAGGAAAAAATCAAGGTTTTTGCACAACGCAATGCTAAATACATATTTATAGTGATTCCCCCCTTTTCATACAATTGAAAAAGAGATTCCGATATCTTCATCTAATTCCTGAAAAGACAACAGAACAACAAAACACACTGTACTTGCACTTTTACTACCAGGTGCAGCTTCAAGACCTTGACGCGAAATTTTAAGGCCCTCTTAGTTTAGCCAATGTAAATTAAACCACACTGGCAAGGAACCTATAAATACCCCAGGAATTCATATCCGGAATGGGGTCCTTGAGTATGGAACTCGGAATTTTTTGATGGGGAATAAAAACCCGAAGTAAATTCTGCAAAAATGTGAACTTATAGCTTGAGAAGAAGAGGAATGAACATGAGGCATATGTTAGAAAAAAGGAAAACACAGAAGTCTTCTGTTGCTCAACATTGTTGGTCCGAAAATCACACTTTCAATTTTTCTGCTGCCAAAATTATTCAAAAAACATCTTCCATTGGAGAACTGGATTTTCTAGAGGCATTTCACATTCATAAAAATCTTTCTGTTCTAGTTAACGATCCTAATTCCAATCCAAATTTGCCTTCGGCTTTTAGAGAAATTATGTTTTAGTTCTGGTTTCGCCAACAGATGGCGCCACTTGCTTATTCTTGTCCAGGCTTTCTTATCTTATCTAATCATTATTTCCTATCTTGTTCATTTGCGGTTTTGCAGCTGAAGATGGTGGTTCGGTAAAACCATCGAAACTAGTCCTGTGAAAATTTTGTAAATATAACGCTGATTTTTGTTGTTTGACTTTTGAATTAGTATTTATTCGGTGCGTTATTGTGTCTTAATATATAGCGTGATTTCATCTTGGTGGAAATATCTCTATGCCAGTTCCACATCAACTAGATTTTGTGTCCCAAACTGTGGATGTAGGAGCAATTTTTTGAAAATCGACAAGCGTTTCGAAGTTTCGCTTTGTTGTATAATGTTTTGCATTTGTGTATAATTACTAATTTTTTATTCTTTATTTATAATTATTATTTCAATATTATATTACTTTTTTATTTGTC